CAGACAGACACAGACCAGGTGGAGGGAGAGGACCACAGTGCACACGCGCCCGCCTGCCGCCATGAAGCCCCCTGCAGGTACCGGCCACCTCTCTGTGCGGCCCCGCTAGCGGGATCCAGGAGCCCCCTGCACCCTCCCGTGCGTATGGGCGTCGGGACTTAGGCCTAAGAGCGGAGCCCAGTGACCTGCGAGTGACCGGGGCCCTGCAGAGGTGTCGGCGAGCCCGCGACCTCGTGCCCTCCGGGGCAGATGAATGAACCAGCTTTTCCAGCGCTTCACTCATTCAGCCAACTTCTCGTGGCTTCTGCTAAGGACGGGTCGGGCCCCGGAGTGGACTCTGGGAGAGACCATGAGTTCTAGACGGAGTTCCAGAGCCCGAGACAGACGGTCAGCAAGCAAAGAAGCAAGCGAGGGCTTTAGAGAGTGGTCAGTCCGTGCGGGGGCTGGTGGCGCTTTTTTTTTTTTTTTTTGAGAGGGCAGTCCTGGAGGGCTTCTCGGAGGGGGTGGTGTTTCGGCTTGGACTGGATGGGGAGAAGCCGCTCTCTTCCAAGACCTGGGGCAGGAGCGTCCCAGTTGGCTGTAACCCTGAGGGCAAAAGCCTGGAGGCAGGAACACGGGTAACACATTTGGAGAGTAATAGGTCATTTTGGCTAGACTACAGCTTTTATTTTAAAGGCAGATGGGCACTATGGACGGGTTTTCATTGGGAGCGATAGGACCTGTTTACGGTATTTTAGAAAACCGCCCAGGTTGTTGTGTGTTGCCTCCTGGAATTTTCCCTTGCCCACCTGGCCTCCCCAGTTCTTTCTCCAGCTCACTGCAATGGTGATGATGATAATTGTATTAATAATAATTGCAACTAGGATTGTGAAGGACTCAGGACGTCAGAGGATGTTGTCTGCCTTGTTCGCTGGAGGATTGTTAGCTTGGGGACCAGGCACGTAGGTGGTAATCAGTAAACGTTTATGGAATGAAGGCGTCTGCTCAAGTTTTTCAAATTCTAGCTCCTCCAGGAGGTTTTCCTGACCCTTCCAGCTCATGTGGATCTCCCAGCTTTCCAGAGCTTCTGGAGCCCTTTACCACCAAATTTGATACAGACCTACAATCCCTTTCTGGCACTTCTGAAATTCAAAATGCTCTGCAAACAGAAAGATTTTTTCTGAAGTTCGAAGCAGTCTTTTGGCCAGAAAATCTGACCTGTGCTGACCTAAAGGCTCTCC